GACTCGAAATTGCATCCCCCCTTTATAACTTTTTGGACGAACTACGCAAATCTGTAGCGTAAACGACAATTAAACTACAAAAAAATAGATACAGGAGAAATTTAACTCTAAGTGGAGGACGCTGCGTTTCTGACAAGAAAATTGACGACAGCAAAAAGAGTATGGGAAAAAGGGCAAAAACCATTTTACAGACTAACGACAAACGAAACTCTCTCCAGGATCAGCTGTCGTAGCATAAATGCTCTAGGTGCAGTCCAGAAGGCTTCGGGCTGAAGTTAATTACTGGAGCTCGTTGCTCGGGTAAATACACGTCCGATAAATCAAATGCTACCACACTCCTTATAAATGTGCATCGTAAAACCGGTAGACAGATAAACGGATCCGCCAAATGAAGCAAGTTCCAGAGGCAAATAACTGTGGAAAAGAACCTAATGATATTACTGAATCCTGCCGTTAACATGCTTCTCGTTTTCAGTCGGCCACTTTTTTAATTCTGTATTTCAGGTCATTCACCTCAGCACTTGGTACCATCAAAAAAAACAGTATGACTAAGAAGATCTTCTTAGCAGCCCCAGGCCTTGGCCTGAAATGAGATCGGCTTAATCTGAGGCTGTTTGGTTCTGCAGCCTCACATGTTAAGAACTGCTCTTTTCCAAAATTATTACCATACTTCATTCTAATATGGATAAGTTTATCAATAAGTCACTTCCTAACTTGCTGTTGAATTTTCAGCTCTTCATGATTAGAGTGAGCTCCCTCTTAGTGTGTCATTGACTGTTCGAACAGTCAGCAAACCTTTCGTCGTAACAGAAACAAAAGAACTTATTGTTACGTTTTTTCCTGTGCTCTATGCAGGCGTACGGTGCCAGAAATGTGACTAAACAAGTTTTTTTTACTTAAAGCTTTTACGGCCGAACTCCTGTGGATGCAGAATGCCGTCCTCCTGACAACGCACTCATAGGGGGTGATGACATGGACTGTCTGCGCCAGTCAAGCCGGAAAACTGAATCCCTTCCGCCTCAGCTGTTTTCGAAGACAACTAAGGCTGAGGTGGCAGGGCGGGAACAGGCGGGAATTCTCGGCATCCACGCTATTCTAAGGACACTTTAACTGCGTTGGAGTGGCTGGATTGCGAAGACCAAAAACGAGCACACACCCAAGCGGCTATTCTACGGCGACGTCGATACGGGTGTTGACCGCGAATAAGGGCAACAGTTACGCTAAAGGAAGCCCAGTAAAAATTCATCAAAGATCTAAATACGAATCCGACGACTCGGGAGGACCCTGTTCTGGATCAGCTGGTCTGGAAAAGAGCAGTTAATACTGGGGCAGCAATCTACGAAACTGACCGCCCTATCGCTGCCAGGGCTAAAGGGATGGCTCATAAGTCTCATATGTCGCAGACTAACAAATTCAACATTTAATCATTTCCGCCCTGCTCGCACTGATGGGGAACACTTCGCGCAAGGATCGGCGTTGTCAGATATCTTTGAACTCAATGCTTTGCCGACGCGGCAGCCCCAGCTACCGCTTCCGAAAATGTCTTGACCGACACCACCATCACAAACTCCACGACTTCGGCGGAGGTGACCATCACCACCGACCTCACAACCACCAAAAACATCGTGTCTCCCATTTCCAATGAGGAATTTGTCCCAATCAATCCCCATTGCGACCGCAGCTTCGCATAGCACATTGTCCTAGTTAGTCAGTTGTGGATCCATCATAATGAGGTTGGCGAATCAATTCATGGAGCCCCCAACGAACACACATCGCACGCACCTCCCTGCCAACATTGCTCTAGGATAATTGGATATCGCGTGGGTCTTCTCGGCTACATGCGTGCTCACAACAGCGGAAGTCACCGCCATGGCAACATGACAAATTTACCCTTGTGCCCCAAAGCTCCTCCACCACCAAAAGCCCGCCCTATCGATAGTGCCAACTCATAGAGACTGTTGAATCAGTACCAAACGTATAGGAACACGCCCATTGCACCCGCCTCTTTTGCTCATACTGCCAATGAACTCTCACTCACTTGGCCCTATCTACATTTACAAAAATCGACAGTAAAACGCCACATTCCACACTCCACTAACACACCTCGTCAGACTGGCCCACACACTATACACAAACCTGCTCCACATCACCCACCGCCTGTCCAGACTGTGCACACAAGTTTGGAGCGTGTTCTTTGTCGTACCTCGGTGCCTGAATTGATTGTCTTACCATGTGTGGCACTCGCAGACGGATTATCGTAGTTCTGCCACCGACTGAGCCCAATCCCATCACCAGCAGGTTTACAGGCTCAGGCAGTTGACTGATGCATTCAGTAGGAAGGAAAATGAGGTTGACGTCAACAAGAGCGTCCCACGGCAAAGCACAGCACTACTCACCGTAATGAATATGTCGGGCCTAAACGTATCACGACTCGCTAAAGGTAGTGACTTGGAAGGCTGTAAATTGACTGGGTAACTCGGTCTTCGTGGTCAGTACCTTTCGTGCATGTGATGTAATTGACTGGAGGACTGAGAGACTGGCGCAATAGCTCCATCTGGTGTTGGTCTCTATGGCACTCCTACTTAGGTTGGATCCAAACCACGCCCTATATACGAGACCAGATCGTGTGTGGCACACATAGACCGACTGTTCGGCTTTACCAGCTACTGAGTCCGCGTCCGCTTCAGATCATCTTGACGCCGTCTTGTAAACCGAGCCAGGTGGTGGAGGGAAGAGAGATTATGGCAGATGCTGCACCAGTCTGCTATCACTATGAGGGAATTCACAGGCCGATAACTGTCCTACGCCTACCGCTTCGTGCGGCACATGATAGACGTCGTAGCGTGCGACGGTTCGATTGTCAGGGCATACCGAATAGCGTATGCGTTTTTGCCTGTGCTGTTGGCTGTCTTCACGGGTCTTCGGAAAAAATGTTCAAGGTTATAACGCCCAAGAGGTGTTTGAGGTACACAAAGCAGTAACGGTTCCGACTGTCTGGATGTGTGCTTCCGGGGATGTTGCAGTCGGTCAGGCTGCAACGTCAAAATGTCTGAGTCCGACCTCGTGGACTGCGAGTAAGCCTATCAGAGCAGGGTTTTCAACGAGGACAACAAGCAATGGAAAGTTGGCTGCCGACCACAACCCCGACGAAGATAAAACTTTTCGAAAGGCGCTGGAAGGAGGGCTTAATAAAAATGTAAACTTTGGATATCGTGCTGTTTGCTGGCTTCCATTTTCCTCCCCTTCGGAATCAGAGACATCGTTGATAATTTTGTGCTGTTATGTTAAAAAGGTTGACAAATTTCCTACTCGTGGACCAAGCGCCCCTGTTTTTAATGATTGCAGAGACATTCGGACTTGGTGTATAAATTAATAGTCACTGCATCAGATTTCGATGGAAATAAAATTTTCTGTTATGGTAGGTTATGTAACCCCACTGGATTTAATATGTATAACTAACTACTATACGTGTTTAAGTACAGTTCGTGACCTAGCTCATGAAATGTCACGAAATACTAACTAAAATCGCCGTAGCGCACGACTCGTCCACCAAGCATCCATGAAAGTTATAATGCCTTAAATACATGACCGAACTTCAAAATAAAACACAGTTTGGTTTCACGAATGGAAGCGGTTCTCGTTTAAAAGAAGACGAGGGCACGATCACTGGAACGGCAGCTTTATTGGTCTTAGCTTTCGAACTCGAACAGGAGCTCATCACCAGAGACAGTTGGAGTTCAGCAAAGTATGAATATTTGTATCGCGGTGCCGTGAGGGGGAGTTACGTCCGTGGCTGGGTCTGGTTCGTGCTGCCTGACCCACAATGGTCCCCCGGCGTGGTGACGGTGTTTGCCCTTCGCGACGATGTGAGCTGCGTCACTTGGATGCGTGGAGGTAGCGCGAAATAACACGCAGGCAAGTCAATGTGTCTATTGATGGAGTTTGTGTCCGACACCCACGCCTACAACAGTTCCCCCCCCCGTCTTATTGACGGCCCACGCCAATGTACACGTGTTGACGAAGTCGGACTCATGGTATTCATCCAGCGTGTGAGTGGAGACTTGAGATAGTGAGTCGCCTCTCCGCACTGCCCTTTATTGCTCGACTTATCGTCGAAGCAGTTAAACGAAACGGAACTCAGAGTGTTGAGCCACGAAGCCAATTTTAACACTGCTGATGCCACCCCAGCCGACTTCATTGCTGCACTTGAGGCCATGTTAGTACGAATTAACGCAAGCGAAGAGGCTAAACAAACGGTGCGCCAAAAGGTTACCTCTCTCCTGATGACGAACAGGCACGCTAGCAATATGTCACCCACAGAAATAGAAGCAATGAAGAGATTAAAAATGGACAAAGATATTATAGTGCTACCGGCCGACAAAGGAAGAGCAACAGTTGTGATGAACCGCGTTGATTACAACGAGAAGGCACAAGCTCTCCTGGACGACCAACAATCCTACAGGTCCGCACCCGCCTCGCAGGCCAAATCGATGATTGGCCAGCTGACTGGACTCTTAAGCCGACTCCGGCGCAACAATATAATCTCGCCAGACGAATGGCGCCAGACAAAACCAACCGACACGGCGTTGGCCAGGCTCTACGGACTACCAAAAATCCACAAACCCAACGTTCCTCTGCGGCCAATCGTGGCCCTGAAAGGCAGCCCCACATACAATTTAGCCAAATGGATGTCCCGAAAGCTCAATTTTCTCCGAGAGGGCTCTGTGACGTCCGTCAATTCGGCCTCCCAATTCCTTGCCGACATTCGGGGAAAAACTATTCAACCCGACCAAATCATGGTATCCGTCGACGTTGTCTCACTTTTCACGTCCATCCCACCAGACTTGGCGCGCGACGTGCTACGCAAACGCCTCGAAGAAAAATACAACGAAACGACAGGGCCGCTAAAGATCCAGCACCTAATGCAGCTCTTTGCATTCTGCTAACGAACCTTTTTCACCTTCGATGGCAGAACATACGAACAAATCAAAGGAACACCCATGAGTTCCCCAATATCCAGCCTAGTTGCGGAATTGGTCCTACAAGAGCTGGAAAAGGTTGCTTTCAGTCATTACAAACCTGCGTTTTGGCGCCGATACGTGGACGCTACATTCGTCATTATTGAAAAGGACAAGCTATCGGGTATCCAAGACTTACTTAACAGCACATTCCACGACATTCAGTTTACAAGAGAAGACGAGGAGGACGAGAAACTACCCTTCCTGGACGTGCTCGTCACGCGCACACCTGACGGTGAACTCAGCACTGCAGTGTACAGAAAGGCGACCAATACAACCCAGGTCCTCAACTATCATAGCAACCACCCATTGGTGCACAAATGGGGCTGTGTGAGGGCGCTTTTCGACCGGGTAAAAACGCACTGTAGCGAGCCCGAAGGAAGGATGCAAGAACTACGGCATCTCCGGGACCAATTAACAAGGAACGGCTACCCAAATAGCTATATCAGTCGCTGCATACGCGCACGCCCACGCCGGACAAACGGAAGAGAGACACCAACAATTTGGCACTCCCTACCGTACATAAAGAATGTGTCCGAGGCTACAGAACGCATCGCGTCAGAGCTAGGCGTGGGTATCGCTCATCATCCGGCGGCCACCATGCGTAGCAGGATCATGAAAATGAAGGATCGGCTGGACGCAGGTGAACAGTCGGGCGTAGTCTATCGAATCCCGTGCCAAAACTGTCCTTGCCACTACACAGGCCAGACAGGACGACGTCTGAGCTCACGAATACTTGAGCACAAACGGGCCGCTCGGAGAGGCGACCCACTGTCTCAAGTAGTCACTCACACGCTCGAGGAAGGGCATGAGTTCGACTTCGCCAACACGCGGATATTGGCGCGAGCCGGCAACAAGACAGGGCGAGAACTGTTGGAGGCGTGGGTGTCGGACAACAACTCCATCAACAGACACATCGATTTGCCTGCAAGTTATCACGCGCTCCGCCCACGCAGCCAGGTGGCGCAGCTCACACCGTCGCGAAGTACAAACGGCGTCACCACGCCGGGGGAACATCGTGGACCAGGCGGCACAAACCCTACCTAGCCAGGGACGTACTCCCCCTTCCCCCCCCCCCGCAAGAATGAAGGATATAAATGTTCACAATTTGCTGCACTCGAGTAGCCTCTGATGATGAACTCTAGTTCGAGTTCGAAAGCTCAGGCAAATAAACCTACTGTCCCAGTGATCGTGCCTTCGCCTTCTTTTAAACAAGAACCTGGGATGCGCATATTCTCTTCCATTCGTTATACCATTTTGTGTTTGTAGATAGAACTTTTCTTCCGTTAAATTAATTTACGCTTGCCAGTCGCTTTGGATTACGCTGAGTTTCAGATCGGCGGTCAGATGTAGCCCCACCTGAAGTGAACGAGCCCCAGTCAGCTCTAATACTGGACCGGTGGTAATAGGGGTTTTACAGGTGAGGCCGGAGAACGGACAGGCGAAGAGGGCAAGTAGTTGTATGCAAAAGCGAAGCTACTGGGAATGCACGGTTGCACTTTGAGCGGTTGAGAAATAGTTACTCTAACTTCTTACTCCTAACCCTAACCGCTAGCCCTTACACCTAACACTCGTCACTAGACCTAACTTCTAACCCTAACCCCACCTGATGTCCATCAAGTGGTGCTACGTAACCACATCTTACCAGATCGGTCTTGAAATATTGCTGTTTTTAGCCGATCGTCCTTAAAGATAGATTCTGAATGATCTGTCCGTTAACAACTATAAAATAAGATTATTCTTGAAGGCGTTCACCAAATTAGTGAGTGTTTGGGCGCTCTTATCCACGAAAAAGGTCGTTTGGGTCACATATGGAGACTCATTCAAACATCAAACTCATTTTCAAAAATATGGCTGTCCACAACGAAAGTCAGCAGTGAATACGCCTTCAAGCAATAAGAAAACTTTCCCTACTGAGTTGCCACTATGAAGTGCTTTAGTGCTTGCACTCTGTTGACGGATCTCTGTGTACTTTGAATTTTTTTTCACGGTGAGGCCAAAAAATTCGAAACTTTTGGCCATTTCTTTCACGTTTCTAAACAATACTAATATTTTTCTACCGTAAACGTAAGAGCATGCCTTTCTCTACATTTTGCGGCCATTTGCACTGATTTGCTCGTTTTTAGACTTCGTTTTCGATTATGAATGGACGGCAGAACGCCCATATAAATATTGGTATTTTGCTGAAACTATTACTGTTTTACTCGTTCCATTTCTGAATTCGGTATGTGCAGACGTTAAACAACATGACAAGTAATGTTCCATATGTCTAAAACTGGAAATGACGATTCGGTGGTAGTCATTTCCCAAAGATTTCAAAAAACGACAGAACAATTTCAGCCCATTTAAACAAAGGAATCCCTTTCTGTGTTTCATTACTGTACTTTAGGGCACCAAATCGCACATATCAGCTAATATGTCTTTTTAGAATCGATAAAAATCTTGTTTTCTTAAAGTAACCTTTCTGTTAGCGAGTAAATTACTACAGTTAGTATCGGACATAAAATAAATTTTCGGGTCCGGCAAAATCTGTTTATTAAACTCTCGCGGGCAAATTACGTTCTTGTCAATGGAAAACACGCTAAGATGCGTAAACGGAGTCTAGGACACGTATCAGCATAGGAAATTTCACGAATGTATTGCAACGTCCATTTTCGTCGAATTTTATTAATATTTTGCATGATATAACTACGTAAGTACAATTTCTGTACAGGAAACACACAACCTATACATATGTATTTTTATTTTCCCTAAGTTTTTATATTACATTGCTTAGTTGCCATAATATGCGGCTACAAACATGCGATCGTACTTGTGTTATGAGACACTTTTCGTGTTATTTGGATGTATTCCCATAGCTGCTCCGACATTCACGTGAAGCAACTTGTCCCGCAGTAAATTTTCACAGTTGCATTATTTGGCACTTACTGTTCTTCTTTCCTATTGGTTGTTCGTTGTATTGGTTCCTAACCTGCTTCAAATTTGAAGTGGTGTTTTTTCAAAAACCTCTTATTTATTGAGAGTTAGTTTTTGTATATTTTTCCATTATCTCCCCCGACTACATTGTCATATCTAGGCGTAGAGGAAGAACTTAATAGAAATCTACCTTTTTATGCTTTGTTGCATTCATCTCGTTCTCCCTCCGCGGTGATGCCGCACCCGTAAAATCCCTATTACCACCGTTCCCGTATTACACTGGGTTGGGGTTACTGGTTGCGAGGTGGGGTTATACAACCTACCATTACCAAATTTTCTTATGAATATGCCTGCAAGCTGGTAGTTAACTGTTCGCTACAGTATATACTGCTTCATCTCAGGTCACTGCAGCGGTTTGTTTCACTTTAGGTACATATCTCTACGTTTACGGCTTGGATGAAGGCTCGAACTCACTAGTTTTCGCAGTTATTTTTCATAAGAAACCAATCAAAAACATAATCGACGTGTTCCCTTCATTATTCTAATGTCACAAACTCTGCAGGCTCTCTCATTCTCTGTATATTCACAATGACATTTCCGTCATGTCTCCACTCCTGCATTGATGACTTTCGTGGTCTTTAACCATCTCTCCTTGGTTCGTCTCTAACCGAACCGATGACATTTGCGAGAGCTCTCCTGTTTCGCCTCCTAGCCGGTGGATAATCAAATCAGCAAAGAGGAATAACGGTTGTCTCTACGATATCGTGGGATAATGCTTCGTATCTTCGTGAGGGTAGCATTTACTTCCAACAGCAGAGCGATCGGTCCGCCTATGCCTGTTCCCCTCCTTTGAACGACAGATTTCCTCCTGAAATTTCTTACTGTGCAAGCACATTTTGTCCTATGCGCTACGCACGTGTTCCAAACGGAGCCTGAAATTCCAAACAAGTTTTCTACTCATGGAATTCCACCAACAAGGACAGGGCTCTTGGTCATTTCAGACTTACTGGCATTAGACAGTGGTATACCAATCACGGGCTGCACACCCGAGACTCGATTCCAAGTCAGTTGATCATCGAACGGCGCTATCACCCCTACACTCACGAGTTCGCGTCATGTCGGCCGAGGTCGAGAGTAGTTAGTAGTCACATGCAAATGGCTGCCACCGATTTATCCTGTCTGTGGGACGAAAATGAATATTACCACTTTTTCGTGGAGCTGAGCGTGTAGAGCACACACACATGGTGGCATGGTCAACGGTAGCCAGTAATTAGGAAGTTTTACTGTTCTACATGTCTAAACCCAACTTATTACTTCCTATCCTCAAGAAGTCTGTAACCGGGCTTTCAGTGAAACCAAACATTATTATAAGTTGTACTTACCCGCGCGAAAAGGACGTACATTATTTTTTGCATCAGCAATATGTTCAGGACTGTTTAATAAAAGTACTACTGCTTTTATTATATAAAACCTTGACTTTTATCAGTGTTGGATGGGATAAAAAATTAGCAATCTTACTAGAAGCGTGATTTTGAACAGATTTGATCGACAGTCAACTGTGCGATGTTGGTGAAGTTGATGAGAGAGGACATTGCCGTTTTGCCGGATATCTTCACACGCAGGTTTAAATACATTACGAATGGATGCTGCCCAGAAAACACAAGCCTAGAGTGAAAGCCGAACTGGGTGGTTATGAGGTCAAAAGGAGAACAGAGAGACAAAAAATGTGGAAGATGCATCTAAAAGCCAACTATGAGGGGAGGTTCCTCGAATCCTGAGGAGAAGTAAACTTGTTTAGGACGTTATTGCTAGAGGCGTGAAGGCCTCCAGAACGCAATTTTCACGCTGATTTTCCGAGTGAATAGATTCCAAAAACCAATGTTACAATTGCCTCAGCCTTTCACGGATACTTAATTACATCTAACGATAAATTGACCTTTTTGAGCGGTTGCATTTCCTTCACAAGTCAATTGGTGTCTATACGGTTCAAGCTGAAAGGCAAATTTTTGAATGCAAATCCGGATGTACCGTTACGGGCTGACGATATTTCAACGTGATGACTTCAGGGCTTGTGCAAGAGAGTTTTCCTTTTTCGATGCTGCAGTTTTTCAAATTCGGAAATTACCAAACTTCTATAAGCTGCCTACCACCAACCATGCATTTTTACGTGCATCCGCCATGAAGCGACGAAAAGAACTCTAAGAGCGAACCGACTTTGTGTGTTGGACGAGTCCATTATGCCACTACCGAGTATCCATGCCTTTGTCAAATATGGTCCTATTCCACAAATCCTCTCATAGCTAGTGAAACGGGGACGAGCTTCTTGAGCGCTGTTTACCCAGTGGAAGTTGACCATTTTGATTTAATCAAGACGCTTCCCTGCTTCAAAAGCGAGAGGCTTCGTCAAAGTTGTATAACATTGGCTTTCGGAGTCACCTACACTATTGGCTGGGCCGTTTTGTCAGTGGAGGACAACTTATTTTGACGGGAAAGTCGCATTAGCGTAGGTCCCTTTTGAAGGTGGCTTCCCAAAGGCACTTCCTCGGATGGATCGTCGTCTTCTACCAGAAAACTACCGACAACTTGCCCTTAGCACCCAGTGGGAGGGCTTAGACACTGCTGAGCAACCGAAGAGTAACTCTGCACTCACCAGCAGCTTCTTGAAATGCATAATCTAAGGTCAATTTTATTTTTTGATTTTCTTCGCTAATGTGTCAAACCGAAGTCGAATTCTCATTTTTAACGCACATTTCCATGTGGCACGACGCTCACTACCTGACCCGTACCGATTGCATTACTGCTTAGAGCGGATTGAATTACTCCACTGTGATGTACCTGTCCTACGTTATATGATGACCGTTCGGCCGTCGCGTACGACGATATCCACGACACCCTCCCCCCACCCGCTTGGGTCCGCTGACAAATCAGTGCCAGGGCGGCCGGAGGGTGGGTTCGGGACCAGTTGGTAACAAAATTAAACAGCCCGTTTACGTATGCGAAGCAGGATATCTTTCCCGCAGGCAAGTACCAGGTTTTCTCAAAAAGGAGTCAGCACCGATCTCACCTAGGTGGGACTGCCATAGAGACGACATGCAGATAGAGCCATTGAGCCTAGCTCTTCGTCCTAAGAG